GATGAGAAAACAGATGTGTGTGTGTGTGTGTGTGTGTGTGTGTGTGTGTACATGTCTATTTATGTGTGTGTGTGTGTGTGTGTGTGTGTGCGCATGTTTAGGTGATTCACGAGGACACAGATTTGTATAATGGCATGGGTATTACAGCATAAACATATTTTATGAGGACATTTCCTTAGTTGTCAGAATTAAAATAGCTTTAAAAACATATTAAGCAATGTTTTATTAAAAATGTAAAAATGCCTGTAGTTTAGTGTGAGGGGTAGGTTTAGGGTAAGGCGATAGAAAATACAGTTTGTACAGTAGAAAAACCATTACGCCTATGGAATGAGCCCATAAAACATAAAACCCAGCATTATCAAACAACACTGCAAAAAAGTTTTTTCTTGTCCGGGCATCAATTTACCATCTAAAGGTCTTTTGGAAGAGCGAGTAATCCTTCAGTTTTTCTGATTTCAGCTTGTTTGACTTCACTTCACTAAGTTTCTTTTCTCTGTTGTTTAATTATTTACAGAAGCAACCACTTTATTGCTCAAGTAACAGCATGGTTTTTATTCTTTCCTGCATACACTGCTTGTTTGAGGTCACTGCTGGTTTGCATTGAGACATCAGCGTGGTGCAACTCATGCTTTACATGTTGTTCCTTAATATTTGGTGTCTTATATTAGCTATATAACTATAACCAGATTACTTACAAACTGTAGTCTGTTACTGATTCCAAATGACATGACAAAAATTGTAGTTAGTAACGTAATCCATAATGCATCATTTATTGTTATTATAATCGTAAGTACATGTAACGTGTACCTTAAAATAAAGAGTTACCAATTTTTGGAATCTGATTACGTAATCCAGATCACATGTAATCAGTTACTAGCTCTGACTGTAACATTGTGATTTGTACACAATTTGCAATTTTTCCCTTTATTTGCTCAATAAAAAAGTTGCTTAAACTGAACGCCAGAGAAAAAGAAAGCGTGCAGGACACGTCATCTCAAACCTTGCATGAAAATCTCTAGATCACATTTGAATATAGCACACATTTCTGAATGTGTTCTCTCGGTTGGTGTAATATCTGGTGATGACTTGTGTTTGATCTGAACGCAGGGCTACACGTCGTTCTGGAATGACAGCATCTCGTCAGGCCTGCGCGGCTGCATTCTGGTGGAGCTGGCGCTGAGAGGACGCATTCAGCTCGAACCGCAGAGCTCACGCAAGAGAAAACTACTGGACCGCAAGGTGAAGACGAGTCACGTGTGTTTCTATAGCAGTTTACACAATACACACTGATTCACAGCAGCTGCACAGAGATAAACAGGAAAACAACAGTGTTAATGATGCACCAATGAATCATCTGAAATAAGCTTTCCATTGATGTATGGTTTGTTAGGATTGGACAATATTTGGAAATCTGGAATCTGAGGGTGCAAAAAAATCTAAATATTGAGAAAATCATCTTTAAAGTTGTTCAAATGAAGTTCTTAGCAATGCATATTACTAATCAAAAATTAAGTTTTGATATATTTACGGTAGGACATTTACAAAATATCTTCATGGAACATGATCTTTACTTAATATCCTAATGATATTTGACATAAAGGAAAAATTGATAATTTTGACCCATACAATGATGCTACAAATATACCTGTGCTGCTTATGACTGCTTTTGTGCTCCAGGGACACAAATGCATCAGTTATCAAACAAAGCACGCAGCCCAACAGAAGACAATATTTTTGTGCAAACCGTGACACATTTTATTTTTCAGGATTCACAGATGTATAGAAAGCTCAAAAGAACAGCATTTATTTGAAATAGAAATCTTTTGTGACATTATAAATGTCTTTACTGGCACATTTCATCAATTTAATGCAAACTTGATGACTAGAAGTGTCTTTTTTTGTCTTTTATTATTGATAATAATCAGAAATGTTTCTTAAATCAGCATATTAGAATGATTTCTGAAGATCATGTGACACTGAAGACTGGAGTAATGATGCTGAAAATACAGCTGCGCATCACAGAAATAAATGACAGTTGAACACATTCACATAGAACACAGCTGTTTTAGATTGGAATAATATTTCACATTTTTTACTGTATTTTGGATCAAAAAAATGCAGAAGAGACTTCTTTCAGAAACATTATAAATCTGAACTATTCCTGAGTCTTAGCTGGCAGTGAGTGTATCTCCGGTCTCTCGTTTGAGTTTTAGCAGTTCCGGCAACACAAATGCAAATGTTCCTGTGCTTCAGTTAAGTTAAACACACCTGATCTCTCGTGGCAAACAGCAGTGGGTGTGTGAAGCGTCTTCATCTTATTGTCTGAATGACTATAGAGTCAATGAAACCAAACCAGCCAGACCGGATGCGTTAGTCTGTCGTTAGTGTTTCACTGCTGCTGGAGCAATCAGAGTTCATTTGCATTGAGAGGATGAGACGGAAATGTCACATTTCTCTTTCAGAATGTCTGGATTTATGTAAGTCGCTTGATAAAGTAACAGCACATCTCTGTTCAACAGCCTTGTTAAGAGCTAAAGTAGTTCAGTTGATGTTTAAATAGCTGATGATGGAGTTAAATAACGAGTTGAACCAGACTAAAGCGCACAATGAAGACTCGGGTGGATCTGACACAACCCTGTCAAGACAATTTACTGTAGGTCATTCTGAGCTTAAAATAGTTGAAAAGTCGTTTCGTTCTTTTTCAAACGTGAAGACACTATATCACCCAGACTATAGCATTCGGAATCAGGCATTAATAATTTACACAGTAAAAAAATATTAAGGTATTTTTAAAATGACTTTCATTTGTGTAACCTGTTGATTTGAACATTTTTATTAAATCATATTTGGAATTATGGAATTTAATGTATGTGTCCAAAACAGATTATTTGAAGCGAAGCCCATTATGAATGAACAATCCGCTTATTGTTTTCAATTTGAAAATAGAAATGATCAAACTGTGAATACAAGATGTTAACTTAGACACTCAGGAATTAATTTATTGGAATCAGGGTTATTATATTTAACTAAAAAAGAAAAAAAATTGTTACTTCAAAATAAATGCTGACTTGGAAACAAATAAAATATACACATTTTATACAATATTTTATAAAAAAAATAGGCTAATTGCCAAGGCAGCATTTCTCATTTTTATTTGTTTTAACTAAAACTGAAAAAATAAAATATTACAAAGCTATATAGACATTAATAAAAAATAAACTATAAAAATGAAAAAAACACAAATTACTGAAACTTTAACTAAAATTAAAATGGAAAGTATAAAAATAAAAATGAATTCAAAATATGAATAGAAACTATAATGGTATATCAATGATACTAAAATAACACTAATTGTAAAGTCCTGCTTTAAATTATATATATATATATATATATATATATATATATATATATATAT